AATACGACATACTTCGATTTTTTCGTATTTTCCGACCTGAAAAAGATATTTGTGTAAGGTAAAAAGTTGTTTTTCGTGATCAGCAACTCTCACTCTATCAAATGATGTAAAAAAACGGCAAAAAAAAATTTTTACTTGAAGTTTGAATTGCCTGCATCTTACTTTCAAAACGCTAATACAAGAAATCGTTTTTGAATTTAGAAAATTTTCATTTTTTTCGCCTTTCGTATAATTTGCTTAGTTTTCTTGAATTGAAGTTCTAAAATTAAAGTTTAAGTATGAGTTTGTGGAGTATTATCTTTTATACAAATATTAACCTTAGGATCTTAAAAGAACACGAGAAAAACAGAAAATACTGAGAGGCTCATTTTTTATGGCCTACCCGGTACTTCACAAAAGACTTAATTCATTTATTTTAATTATTTATGTACAGCAATCCGCAACAGTAGAACTATCTTCTGTATATATCACACGCAATCTATATGTATGTCTGAACGTGCAGTCAGCATAGATTATTACCGTTTAGATTACTAAAAGTTTATTTGTTTGAAGTTTTTTATAAAAAAATATAACAGTTAAGGGGTTAAAATCCAAAATTTCTCAAAAAGAAATCATAAAAAGAATTCACCATACCAAATAACCTATAAGATGCAAAAATTAAAAAAAACGTTTGGTTTTGCTATTAAAAAGAGCAAAAACTAAAAGCTTAGAAATATTTTCCACTTTTATGAAACTTAACGGCAAAAACGGCAACCTTTTCTTTTTAAACGCATTGTGCTTAACGTTAAAAAAGTTCAATATATATAGGTTTTTTTACTTCATGTATGTATGTATGTGTGATTATGGCTCAATAGGTAAGCACCGAGACTCTTGCGCCGCCATCCCGTGTTCAAATCATGGCGAGAGCTTAATTTTCTAAATGTTTCATTGTCAATGCTCTTTTACGTATTTTAGGTTCATCTCAATGCGTTTAAACGATTCAATGATCTATTATGACGCGTAATAAGGCGTCAGCTAACCTCCGGATCAATATGACTATCCGGTCCAATTAGACGAACTTTTTTCGTCTTTTTTTTAAAAGAAATATTCTCAACGCGTCTCAGTACGTTGAAACTACAAACGTTTTTAACGCATCGAAAAAGTTCGATGTTGTCTAAGAGAAAAACGTGTGGTAATGGTAAAAATTTTTCAATTGACGCGTTTAAACACGTCCAAAACTTTTGCAAATTTCCTGCTGTGTTTGATAAAAAGTTTTGATGAATTTTCGAGATGGTTGTAGTCAGGCAGGCTAGTTACAGTACCAATGATGTGTTCATGTAAAACGAATTCAAAAGAATACGTATATAAACATTCTGTTGGATTGATGATTTATTTTAATTACTATATTGTGTCTAACCAAGCCAAACTAGAAGATTTGGGAAAGAGACGTGGACATTCACAGAAAGTGACTTCTACATTGAGTCATTAGCGTTTATTCTGTGACTGGACAATTGTGAACTGGAGAAAATGGTGATTTGTGCCTATTATTTCTATTTTTTATGATAATATATTGAATAAATATATGTTTAGGAATCAAAAGGCATGAATGATGCACACGATGGAAGTGAAAAACTTCTCAGCTCTCTGAGAAACTGTGCAGAAAAATGTCTCCGTGCAGATTACCTCTTTTTTCCGTGCAGAAATAAATAACCATGCAGAAAAAAGAAAAAGATTTTCTTCTGCACAAACCGTGCAGTACTTAGGAAAAAATCCGTGCAGAAAAAGCGTTTTCCCATTGCGTGTCATACGCTTCAAATTTCTGAATAGTTCATGTTCACAGCCGTCTCAATAGTTGAACCTAGGATTTTATTGAGGCGTTCCTCCATATATTTTGGTAATGTCATGCGTGTATACATCAAGGGGAAAACAGCTGACTGAAATCAGACCAAAATTAGTCGAAAATCACCCAAAATCAATTGACCTTCAGTGATCCTCTGTAATTCTCTGTGATTTTCAATGACTTTCAGTCACTTCCGGTGACTTTTCATTTGGTGAAAATCGATGAAAATCAGCAAAATCGAAAAAAATCTGAAAAATCCCAAAATCAGCTCTTTCCCCCTTGGTATACATCCGGCAACCGTGTTTCTCATATTTTCCATACGTTTTTCTATTTGTTGGAAAAACAAAGTGTTAGAATAGAAATTGACAAGCGGAGAGCGAAAACCTTCCATAGAAAAAAAGAGAGAATAGCCAGCAGCCTCTTTTACATTACCGCTGCCCACAGATGTTGTACTTCGAAAGTCAACCCTTCATTGACTTTTCGAAAATAACTTTTCCTCGTTATTTCTTTACTTTTAGATCACTATCAACTACCATCTAAAGAGAAGACTAGTAGAAGTAGCGTGTCGTCAATAAGGGAGAATATGACGTATTATTTCTGATTCACTTACTCAACCCACATTTTGTCTGTGCATGGACACCTGAGATATTTCTGTAATGAGTGAGGTCGTATGGCCGAACATTATTCTGTGCGTCCGATTTTCTTTATGTAATCTACCGTCGAACGACAGTTGTATTCATGAGACAGGATATCCAGATGTAGCGTCCAAATACGTCCGTCCAAAAGTACGATCACACCGTTTTTGAAAGCGGACAGAACGTCTTGTATTATTTCTAGACAATCGTCTTTATCTACTATCCGGACGAGTGTCTTGATGACGTGCGATTGTGATAAACTGCATAGCAAAAAAAGCGACATTGTAACCGTCCGAGCTACCGTCCTGACGTTTAACCATAATGCGTCCGATTTTGCGGGCGTTTGGACTGGTCCGAAGCGTCCGAAAGTGAGACATCATTTGAGACTAAGGCCGTTCCGTCCTTGGTCTCAAATGGACTAGGCTTTTCACCCGTTCTTTGCTTACCTGAACAGCACCTAATGACTGAATTTCATGAAATATAATTATTGAATCGGGTACTAGAGTTGATGTTTCAATTGTTCCAGTGAGAGTACCGAATCTAATTAAAGTTTGAGATAAATCCTCCCCTTCTCAAATGATCTAGTATCATAACGATCTCAAACCTTAGCGTACGCTTCTGCAACTAATCGTCTCTCATCAAATGGAATTGTTATGTTCGAATCACCAGTTTATTCAAGATGATACAAAATTTTGTTGTTGCTGTTTACTTTTTTATAGTTTTTACTATGAGTACAGAGATAGAGCCAGTTTCTTCCAGACAATTAATATATTGAACAAGTGGAAGAAATCCATCATCGCTATCTTTTCTTAGCATATAATTATTCCACTACATAGAAGTCAATCCAAATCCACGTAAGATTTTAATGTCGCCTTCGGTTTCCGATTGAGCATATATTTTCAACTTCTTTTTTCCCACATATACAATTTCTAACTATGCGAAATGCATCTCTGTTGGCGAGACGTTCTTAAAAGACATACGGTGAAAATGACGTTTTTCTGTTCATATTCTAAAAATTTTATTCAAACAATGTATTTTTCGTTCTTTTTCAAGAATAAAAAACGAAAAAACATCGTTTACAGCTAGATTTTGTTCTTAACAAATTCAAAGATTCTTTCCTTGTTGCATTATTACACAACAATCTTGAAATCTTTTTGGAATTTATTTTACGTGTATCTACTAGATACAATTTTCTTGTGGCATCTGAAAAAGATTTTAAATTGGGCGCTAGATTTATCAGCCGCCGATTTGGTTACAATCTCATGACGAATTGTAGAGTAGGAAGTAGGATACACTGCAGCCAGACTACAGCGTTAATTATGATTAAGTTAATCATAATCAGTTAACCACGATTACCTCACTAATCGTGATAAACTTTATGCATGATTGAAAGATGACTGGCTTAATCAGAATTAATTTAGTGCGACCTCTCTATTCATGATTAAATTCATTAAATTGTAAGATTAATATAGCAATAATAGTGTGGAACGTAAGCGGGCGTAATGCTTCGCTATAGCGAAACAATACATAACATACAATACAATAACATTATCAGTAGCATAATTTTGTACAGAAAATCAAAGTGCGTGTATGATGATGATGCATGTGTCATTTATAATAGCATGCAACTAAGTGTACTCGTCACACTGTTTTACGCATACAACTATGATTATATAAGTAAAAATATTAGAAATACGTGTTTTCACGGACATACGTAGGATATTGCTTTCTTTGATTATAGAAACTAATCCATTGATCATGATTGTTCTTTGCCACAGGTGAATAGAAATATATAACTAGGAAAGAGGTACAGTGTGAATGGTGTAGCGATTTTATTAGTAAAATGACAGGCACGTGTTTATGGTCAATATTCTTACTACTGATTTTATTCATTACTGATGTTAAAAGTGATGTTGCTTGCCCAAAAGCACAACTTCAACAGAAAACAAAACTTTTAGTTAATGTTCTGAAAGGAAATAATTGTCGGAAATCGCTGTTCAATAATTTATTAGCCAACAGACCACTAGTAAATTATATACACACAAAATTGTGTCCACGCAAAATTACATCCTATAAAGTGACAAAATTTGATACAGGAACATACTTGGTTACTGTTCAATTTACATCGAATAAAGCTGTCTATAATGGCCAATTAGCGTTCAATCAGCAATACAAACTGTGTGGTTTACAATTCGGCACATTGGTACCACAAGCATTTCCACTTAAGTGTGTGTACAAACGTCCTACTCTCACACCGACGAATGCTTCACTCAAATTACCTTCTGGATTTAACGCTGCTGTGATTGCCACAGTGCCTGGTGCAAGAGAATTAGTTTCACTGCCAAATGGCGATTTGATCGTGGGAACACAAGGAACAGCAGTAAAAATTATTCTGAATGCAGATGGGGCAGATTTGGCCGGAGCAACTGGTATATTTGCAACATTTTCGGAAACGTCACCGGAAGGTGTAGCATTTGGCGGCGGGTATATTTTTGCTTCGACAGAAAAAACGATATGGAGAATGCCTTATAAAAATGGCCAGAGGGCAGGCACACCTGTTAAAATAGCATTAGTTCGTCAAGGTCCCATTGCGCCAAATAGTGATGGAGATGTTCATAAATCAACGTCAGTTAGCGTGAGTGGACAAACATTATACGCCGGCATTGGCTCATCGTGCAATGCTTGCGAAGAAGTAGATGAAACTCGTGCAACGATTCAAATGATGAAACTTGATGGAACAGAGATGAAACTAAAAGCGAAACGTTGGCGAAATCCGAAATGAATGTTTAAATATTACGTTTAATACGTAAAACTCGGATTCGGTGATAATTACGAATAATTGGACGCAAGCTTAAATGCTCACGTTATTGGGGAACAATCGATTTGCATTTGCCATTGATCCAAAGTCAAAAGCGGTTTGGTCCGGTGGAGCCGGGCAAGACTCTTTATCCGGAGGCCATCCCTACGAGTACTTGGATCCTGTTTCCACGCGTCCGACGCCATCGGACTATGGATGGCCTGTTTGCGAAGAAAATCATGTCGCCTATACTCAAGAAGCAAACTGTAGCACAATCATCATACCCAAACTAGTATTTCCCGCATATTCGACAATCATAGGCGCCACATTTTATCCTTTAAAGCTAAACGGTTTACCCTATGCATTTCCAGCCAAATGGCGTGGTAGTCTCTTTGTTAGTATGCGGGGATCGTGGCATGTAAATTCGAGTGGTGTTCCCTGGGATGCACCACACGTTGCTTTTGTTCCATTTGGTCTCAAAACGAGAATGCCGATAAAATCAGTTAACTGGGGTGATCCCTACTCACAATGGATCGAGTTTTTCACAGGATTTCAAGATGCAAAAGGAAATCGTATCGGTAGGTGTACCGGTGTCGCTGTGGGACCAAAAGGAAGTTTGTTTGTGGCCGACGATACAACTGGAAATATATACAGAATCCGTCCAACAACAGCAAACTGTTAATTCTTTATGTTCAAAATCAGTTCGTCCATATTCAAAGGATTACAAATCGGCATGCCAATTTCCATATTGATTCACAAACCAATTACGCGTAAATTCAGTGTATTGTCTGCTGATGTAGCCCCTGTTTCGGCTCTAAAGTAATCCAAAGTTCACGGATTCGTATAATCTATTTAGTTAGACCTAAGATGAATGAAGGATTCTAAATCTATCTATAATCTGATTTTCCTCATCTCACTTTCACTAAAAGGATTTCGGGTGATATAAACCATCTTGTGTGCAGAATGCTGGTTTTTTTTGTCTTGTTCTTGAATTGGAATCTGGAAACAGTCTGACTTTAAATCTAATTTTGCAAACCATTTGTGAGCACGCAAACGTTGTCAAAACTCTTCGGTTGTTGGTTGTGGCTAGGAATCCTTTTTAGTAATTGAGTTTAATTTTCTATAATCTACAATAAATTTGATATAGTTTGATTTGTTCTCGCTGTAGTTTTACAAAAACGATTTTAAATCGTGTCTAATAGACATCTAAAACTTCTAACTTTGATGGTTTTCTTGCTGTAGTGTCTCAGTAAAAGTTTGTGTATAAACACTTTACTACTGCATGTTCCCATTCCTTTTACTACTGAAAAAGCATTAAAATGTTCCCTATATAAAAAAATATACAGAGAATAAAAGTCTCATGACGCAAGTGTACGTGACAAAAACAACATATCATTATACGACTGTATTTGACATAGAGTCACATTATAAGCATCCCATGAAACACAACCAGATCTTAAGTGCATAAATATTCTTATACAATTACTCAAAAGGCTTTGAGAGTATATTCATCGAAACATCAGAGATTTTCTTCGGTTAACGATGTTCACATCGCCACCCAGACCGCTACTAATCGAGTTCTGATGTAGTGGAGAAAGACAAATCCGTCACAATTCGATCAAAGTAAATTTGATGCTAAGTTGAGTTTATTTTCCTTTGACAATAGATCCGAATTTACTATTTGGTTTCTTGAATAATATTACAAGTGACGACCAAGATGATTGGAATGGAATAACAATTCCATTTCTAATCATTTTATCAGTCTCTTGTTTCCTTTTCTTTCTACGCTTATAATAAAATAGTATGCTGACAAACGAAGCCGCATCCTTTTAACAATTTGTGCTATGCAACATTTTTGTGTAATATCTGTAGCTTTTTCGAAGCATACAATGCAGATTTGGAAGCAATTGGACTAACGAGGGAACCTGCTCAACTGAACAACGTTATGACGCTTTCAAATTTTCCTCGAGTAAATTGCATTTTCGTTAAAGTTTCTCATTTTCTATTATGTAATGGGAAATATAAAAAAGGCCAACAGTTTTACATAGAAATCTATCAGTTTTTCTCATATAAGGATAGTCCGAGATGTCCTGTACAAATTCAGATCCAAGCGACATCTCGAAAATCCATGGTTCGGGAAGGATGGACCATTTTTTGAAACCTTAGAACTCCTCTGCCGTTAGCTTTGGGACTGTTAGAAATGAACGAAAGCATAGGTTATCGACTATACTGAATCTCGTGGCAATATTTATTTTTCTAAACAGTTTCAAAAACCTAGTGAAAATGTACATTAGGTGAAATATCACATTTTTGCCTATTTTTGAATAAAATTAAAATATTCATAACTCAGTCAAGACCAATCCAACTTGTGTCAGAATATCAAGATGTACACTATTTTACCTGCTCAATAATATGCAGCTCAATAGAAGCTTTAAAAGCCGGCAGTAAATTCTCTAGTTTTCGAAATGGTTCTCTAGAAATCTTCCGAAGTACAAGAATGTTTTTTACTGTTCTCAAGTAAAAACTCGTTTGAAGCAGATAAAATAGAGTACATCTTGATATTCTGACACAAGTTGGATTGATCTTGACTGAGTTATGAATATTTTAATTTTACTCAAAAATAGGCAAAAATGTGATATTTCACCTAATGTACGTTTTCACTAGGTTTTTGGACACCTAGTGAAGGACACCTCGGAATATCCATATATGAGAAAAACTGATAGATTTCTATGTAAAACTTTGGAGCTCTAAAGTGGTTCTCCAGAGCTCCACTTAGAAATCCTCTAGAGATCCATGCAAAAAATTTGGATTTTTGCATATTATTACATGTCCCAGTCTTGCCCGCTCGATGTGAAAAATCCGATCTCGATAACTCATTCCGTTCTCGAGTTATTCATGTCGCAATCACCCATACTATATTTTGAAACTGATAATAGTAGCACGTCAATTTTACCTGGCACCACGTCAATCAATGCAGTTTTTCGCGCTCTTACTAATGAAACCAACCACAACATGCGCGGAAGGGTTTCAAAGTAGACATGTCGAAATATGTCCCGAATGGGAGAGATTCCGCTTTCCCGATCAGGATATATTTCTCAATCGGGAAATATATCTTTCTTGAACGGGAAATATTTTCCGTTCGGGGTATAACTCTTTGGAACGCACTGCCTGATTTAGAAAAAGCACGGTGGATATTTGTTGGAATTGATGGATATGATAACGGTGCATAAGCACTAACCAAGAACCACTTACTACAGAAACAATGACCATTATCACCAATTGTTACTTTCTACTGATTTTGTTCATCTAACCATTTAGCATTTGTTACTTTTGTATTAAACTGAATATTTTTTCGAAGTTCATGAGCGTCTTTGGCCTGTGAATAGAGAAAGAGACCACCCAAATTTTTTAAAAAATTTTAATTTTGTCCGTCAGATGAACTTTTTTTCTTCAAGGTTGTAAAAAATACCGTGTATTTGAATGGATCTTCCATAAATAAATAGGAACAAAAAATAGCTTGACTACCATATTTGAGAACACGCAGGAACGCAAAACTATCGAGCACACCTCTTCTTTTTATTATTGTGATTAAATCAAACTAAATTAGTTTTAAAAAATGTTTACATATCTCGATAGAGAAATGTTTTCTCTACCCCGTAATATAAAATTCCCTCTTATCAACTGAAAAATGGCTGAGAATATAGAGATTTACTAGAAAGAAAAATTTTCCTATCATAATCTGAAATTGAAAAATTTTCCTATCACGTGTTCTCTTACGCTCACTCAGTCAATAACATCAATACCAGAATATTACAGAGCCGTAAAAAGGTATATCATACAGTACACTGTAAAAATAGTTGTAGATTAATAAACTATCGAAAAGGGTTTATTGAGACAAATAAACCTTTTAAAAAACGCTTTTCCCTTTTTTATATCTAAAAAACTAAAAAGCGTTCGTGACAGATGCCAGATCACAGATTTCTTTCTCGTAGATCTCTATATTCTCAGCCATTTTTCAGTTGATAAGATACAAAACATTTCTCTATCGAGATATGTAAACATTTTTTAAAACTAATTTAGTTTGATTTAATCACAA